TCACAGCATGTAAAAGACATTTGCACAGGTACATGAACAGGAAAGGTTTAGAGCAATTATGGGCCAAACGCAAGCAAATGAGATTACTTTAGTTGAGAAACTTTGTCATCATGGACAAATTGGGCAGATGGGTCTATTTCCAGGTTGTATGACTAACCGTACAAAGTTCTAGAGAACACTTATTCAAGAAACAGTTTTATATCTGTGACAATTATTGTATCTGATATAAATGAGACAAGTTTTCTGAACTAATACAAGTATTTTTAGCAATTCACATGACTCCAGCAAGTAAGGAAATTAAACTGAGACGCACAGAATTGAAGCAATTGCAGAAGTCAGCTTTACTGAAGAAAAGTTAGAGTTTAGAATTAGGTTTAAAATAAGTGATTTTTTTTGTATAAATTTAGGGTCTTAGAATTTCCACTTTTTGAAAAGTTTGGAGAGTTCCTGTGGTGCATAGTTCACATTATAACCAGTCATAAGGTAATGATAGATTCCAGTGGCTAAGGCAGTGGTCATAGAATTGGTCAATCCTGGAAGATAAGGATTTGTGTACTGTTGTGGATAGATAACTTTGAAGAAAAGTCATTTTGCACTTGAAATATTAATTTTTCATCTCCCCACACACTGCCAGAGCTGTTGATTTTCTCCAGAACTATTTTAATTCCATCACTGACAAATTGGGCAGAGGGCAAATGCAGAGTAAGATGTAAAGAGTTTTCCACAAAACAACCATTTGGCATGTACTACTGGAGGAAGTGTTTCAGGTTCTGTGACATACATTAATGCAGGTCTCACTTTCAGCAGAAACAAGAACCATGAACAATACCAACTCTATGCAGTAGAAGTTGCAGATGGTACAAAACATCTGTTGTCAAGTCTGTTAAAAGATTGACCACACCCACTGGCAAGATTGGTGCCAAGTTTGAGAAACCAGGTAAAGGAGCCTTGACTCAGTCATTTTAAGTGGCTCAAGCAAGTACTACTTTTTCCAGATAAGAAATTAGTGGGAGTGGCTCCTCCAATGTGAAGCAAATTTAAGTGAAAGCAATAACTGCAGCTACTGTAGCAATGCCAGTGCCACATCACCAAGCCCAAGCAACTTCAGCTGGCAGTTTGGGTCAATTTCATGGTTGCCTGCCTGTGTTGTACCTTACATAGGGTAGGAAAAGGAAGTAATCCCAAACACATCACGTGACCCAAAACACCAGAGAAATGCGATTCACGCAACTGGGATAACTATATGTTGGCTGCAATGTTCACTTTATCAAAAGGCTTTTACCCTGAAGACTAACACTCACTCAACTTTTGTAACAGTTCAAACTGAAACCAAAATGGGTGGGACTGTTTGGTATTTGTGGCAGTAAGTTCTCATGAAATTATTAAAAAGAACTGCGCAAGTCGTTTACCAAGTCCAAACTTCGTGCACAGTATCCCATTGTTATTACCAGAGTGTAGAGTGGTAAACTGCAGAGAAGATTCCATAGTCAATTTTATACCCATCACACCAGACATTAGCAGACATCTTGTAGTACACCCCGCCTGTAACCAAACTTTTTGGAGAGAGATTAAAGTTGCAGGTAGAGCACCTCAAAAATCTACTCAAACTGGAATTCTTCACGTGTTTGTTTCTTCATGTTTTAAAAGGAGTAAAAGAATAAGTCTTTCCGGACAATTTTCTGGACAGTGAGATGCTATATTAGCGTGGCTTGACTGCAGACTAGTTACCAGTTTTAATACTTCACATGCTGCTCTATCTTGTGCATTAAATAACCTTTGGTCCCACTGATCTTTCCGAAACATACAAAATTCAGCATACTAAATTTAGGATACCGTGTTTTATTTATTGTCAGTTAGCACTGTTCATTCCTTATCTCAAAATTATAAATAGTCTCTTTACAAAAGGAAGAACCAATCACAAGATGAACAGTTACATGAGGTAGCAAAACCTAAAGCTTTGCAGGTCCCAAGTGAAAGAGTTAGGCAGTCACTAATGGAGTCCATTTGATCCATCATGCTTGGGATGAAAAAGATATCTAACTAGCTTCACACCCCAGCCCCTTTCTCATATCCCTGCAGAATTTTACTTGCTTTTGTAGGCAATTCCCTTTTCAAAATTACTACTGAATCTGCTTCCATTCCTCTTTATGGCAGTGCGCCCCAGATCACAATAACTTGCTACGCAAAAAGAATACTCATTTCCTTAATAGGAGATCAATTATCATAGTTATGTATAAGCTAGTTAGTGACTATTTGGCCAGTGAATGCAGTTACCCCTCTACTCAAAACAAAAATAGGTTAGATTTAGAAATTAATACATTAAAACACATTAATCAAGTAATAATTAGTAAAGCTTTTTACATTTTGGTTAAAAAAGACAGATTATAATCATTAACTATATGAGCAAAACATTTTGATTGTGCAAGCAACTCCTATTTTTAGATTACAGCAGGCAGAACAGAGCTGGAATTCAGGAAGAGCACGTATAAGAAACTAAGGAAGAAGCATGACAAAGCAAGATTTTGATCAGAACATTAGTTTACATCTACGGACTGTGTTGTTGTATGTTTAGCGATTTCAAGGGTAATAAAACAGCTGAAGTAAAGCCAGAAAAGTTTTAGACAATGAAAGCTAATCTTTCAAAACAAAATATGTAAAATAATGCAAGACAAACCTTTGCAGGAAAAGGAAATGTTGGTGCCTTTCGGTTGAAGTATTCTGAATGGGTCTTGGTGGACAATTGATCAATTGCCAGAAAGCTTATTACCTGATCCTAAGTGTAGTTCTGTATGTACTGCTGTCTATGTAGCATTAAATTACTGCTTTAACCAGAATTATTCAATTATCTCCGTGCTAATTTCAGCTTTTTAAACATAATGCATTTGAAGTTAGCGTAGCATTGCCCTTTATGTGGAATACTATCCTTAAAAAGTTAGTCAGCCCACTTTCAAAAGTGACAAATCTGGCTCACAACTCCACGAAAAGGAAGATGGGTGAAATGGTGAGTCTCTTTACTACAAAGGTTTTACAAGGTCTCATTAAAAAGTAACTTGAGCAGAAAGTTAGAGATAACAAGGTGTAGAGCTGGATGAACGCAGCAGAGGAGCAGGAAGGCTGACGTTTCGGGCCTAGACCCTTCTTCAGAAATGGGGGAGGGGAAAGGGGTTCTGAAATAAATAGGGAGAGAGAAGGAGGCAGATAGAAGATGGATAGAGGAGAAGATAGGTGGAGAGGAGACAGACCGGTCAAAGAGGTGGGGATGGAGCCAGTAAAGGTGAGTGTAGGTGGGGAGGTAGGGAGGAGATAGGTCAGTCCAGGGAGGACAGACAGGTCAAGGGGGCAGGATGAGGTTAGTAGGTAGGAGATGGGAGTGGGGTGGGGCTTGAGGTGGGGATAGGTGGGAGGAAGGACAGGTTAGGGAGGCGGGGACGAGCTGGGCTGGTTTTGGGATGCAATAAGGGGAGGGGAGATTTTGAAGCTTTTGAAGTCCACATCGATACCATTGGGCTGCAGGGTTCCAAGTGGAGGCTTGGGGACCGCTTTGCAGAACACCTACGCTTGGTTCACACTAAACAACTGCACCTCCCAGTCACAAGCCAGTTCAATTCCCCCTCCCATTCCACAGCAAACATGTCCATCCTGGGCCTCCTGCAGTGCCACAACGATGCTACCTGAAGGTTGCAGGAACAGCAACTCATATTCCACCTGGGAACCCTGCAGCCCAATGGTCTCAATGTGGACTTCACAAGCTTCAAAAATCTCCCCTCCCCCTACTGCATCCCAAAACCAGCCCAGCTCATCCCCGCCTCCCTAACCTGTCCTTCCTCCCACCTCAAGCTCCACCCCCATCTCCTACCCACTAACCTCAACCTACCCCCTTGAACTGTCCATCCTCCCTGGACTGGCTTATCTCCTCCCTACCTGCACCCACTTTTACTGGCTCCATCCCAGCCTTTGACCGGTCTGTCTCCTCTATCCATCTTTCCGCCTCCGCCTCCCCCTCTCTCCCTATTTATTTCAGAACCCCCTTGCCCATTTCTGAAGAAGGGTCTAGGCCCAAAACGTCAGCCTTCCTGCTCCTCAGATGCTGCTTGGCCTGTGTTCATCCAGCTCTACACCTTGTTATCTCACATTCTCCAGCATCTGCAGTTCCTACTATCTCGATCAGAAAGTTACCTACATGGAGCGATCAAAACAAAAATGGTGTAAAAGGTAGCAATCCAAAAGCAAAAGTAACCCAGAAACCTGACAAAAAATAATTGGCTCTGACTTGTGCCAAGCAGACCAGACTGCAATTTTTCAGGCTTTACACAATTCATATCAAAAGACAAAAAAAACTAAAATTTCGAAACAACTGCAGCAGTAATATCAACTTTGCAGCTTTAACTTCGTCATGTGGCATCATTAAGGAATAATAACCAACTTATTCCGTGACACTTAGCAATTCGAGGGGAACGGATGGGGTCAGGAACAGCATGGATGAAGTTCAGATGCTATAAAAGGTTTTCGCATGGAGGGAAAGAGATGAGGATATTTATTGCATAAGAATTTGCAGACCAGGAATTTTTTTTTTGGTAGTAGTATCTTACCCGCTGAAAAGGACGACATTTCAGGAGTATTTATCCCACAGAAATACAGACTCGAAGGAACATGTCTATAGCTCTTTTCTGAGGCGTCGGGCCGTTAAAAATTGAGGGAAAGAATCTCAAGCTTCGATTTGAACTCAATTATCTCAAAGCCCATTATCATTCCCTTCCAAGAATAGGAAAGGTAGATTTTGAAACAAAGAAATATCGCAGTACAGCCATGTCCTCCCCATTCATCCATCTTGCTGACCCGACCCAACCAAACCCGAAGAGGCATTTCCCCACACACGTCCCCCCCTATCGTTCTAAGGGAGGCGCTAACGCGATCGTCAAATCATCGCCACCGTGAAAAAAAGTGAAGCACACATCACTGAACGAGACAAGATTTCTTCTCTCTCTCTTTCCTCGTGCGTCACTCCTTGTGAGGGAGCGAAGATGGCCAAGGCAAGAAAAATGGCTCCCTCCTGCCTTTTCTCCTCCGGGCAGCCATACCGCCCAGAACCGCCCGCCCGAGATGATCAAACAGGCGGGCTGTCTACCCGCCCCGGGAATGGAACACTGACCCGGAGCCGGAGGAGTAGTAGTAGTACCAGCTCACTCAAAGCGCCTCGAGACTGTAGAAGCCCGGGACACAGCGGGTGGGGGATGAGAGCATCCGGCCGCACGCGACCGTCACTACAACAGAAATTGCAGGGAAAATCTCAGCAAGCGCTGTGCAGAATGAGAGAGAGAGAAAAAGAAAGTTAATATTTCGGGTCGACAACTTTTACTAACTTGGTTCTCCAGCACCCGCACTCCCATTTTCCGTCGGTCTTAGTCGCGTTCGTACAGAGTTAAAGCAGAAGTTACACTGTAATCTACAGCCCCGTGTGCTAATGCAAGCTACGACAAAGGTTTATATACCTGTGACGTTGCACGCCGGCCTACGGAGGAAAGGATGGGGGCGGTGGAGCCCATTTTTTAAAAACTGCGCACGCGCACGTAGGTTCTGGAGGCGTACTGGAAAGACACCTTCTCCTGGAGTAGGAGGTACTTGAACTCGGTTTTCGAGGTGATCGTACAATATTATCTGAACAGGCTGTTGAGGGGCAAAAGAAATTTACCGTTCGTTTCATCAGTACTTTTTATTTCAAAGACACTCGCGAAATTTGTGACTGTGCCCGTGGCTCAGCTCCTTTGCGCGTATTTTCTGTCTAAGGATGTCACCAGTCAGTGTAGTTTAAATGTGACAGCTGCTTTAGTCTCCAGTTACGTAGATTTGTAAATTGGCAGCCCAGAAAAGGCATTAGGCGATCTAGGCCCGAGTCTCGCTATGGCCAGTTTATTTAAAATATCAATTTATTTGTAAAACTCTAGTAGCCACGGTTAATGTTTTTAGATCAAAGTATGTAAAGAAATTGCCTTTTGTTCTGTAATTTTTGTTTTGTAAGTCTGTCCAAATATCTTGATTTTGGGCTTAATGCAGAATTTTGTTGGATATTTCCTGTGAAACATTCGGATGTGTTATGTTGTAAGGGACTGCAATTTTCATCCAAAGGAAATCAGGTAGTACTTAAAAGAAAGAAACAATGGGCTTTTGTTTTGAAAAACTGCACTTTGTTCATACAAAAAGTTATCTTTATGTACATACACGAGTTTAGCCTTAACATATAATGAAAACAAACATTAAAATTTGACCTACCCTGCAGTTGCAGAAACCAAAGGCATTTCTTATTCGAGCAAGATACTGCAGTGTTTGCGTACGTTTTGAGGCAAAGAGAGTGTGGTAACCAAACAGACCCTCGTTGGACTTTGGCAGAGAAACCTCAGATGGAGGTCTTTCCCCACAGCGCCTTAGTGGCAGCTGCCCCAAGTCTTGGTGCATCCCTCGGCATGTAATCCTGAACTTGGAAATGTGCCAGTCTGAAATATTTGGTTCAGGTTAACCCATTCAACTGGAAGACCAACATGTTTCGGGCAGACCAAAGAACGACTTTCGCCAAGTTGGTGGCCCTCTAGGAACAGTCAGTGTTTTTCTCTGTGTGTGCCCAGGGAACAGCTGGTAGAGCACGGAGCTGCTTGGGATGAAGCTTGACAAAAATTGCTACATCTCCATGCTTCCTTTGCAAAGGCACATTCCAGAAGAAGATGAGTGACAGTCTCTTTGGTGCAGGTCCTTTAGGGCAGCATGCAGTGGCTTACAGAGACCAGTATGCATGAAGGATCTGACGGGCAGTGCCCTTCTTGCCACCAGCCAAAGTGGTGCTTATTGGAAAATCCTGGTGATAAGGAGTTCTGCCATATAACTTTGACAGTCTGCTCAGGGGATTGTCCTGTAGGGTCTTGAGGACATTACGTGCTGACCACTTCCTGATGGACTTGTGGTCCAAGGTGTTTTTCTTTGCAAATGTTTCCACGAAGGACAGATGAAATGGAATGGCCCAAACAGTCAGAGTGTTCCTCGGTACCAAGGCCAGACCCATCCTTCACGACAGGTCAGTTCGTAGTGACAGTTGGTGTTTGCATTCCGAGGGTCTACGCGTAGCTTGATGCAGGTGGACACCAAGGTGGCCATCATGCTGCATGAGTGCAGCATTGAGTATGTCTTTTCTCCCTCCTTCTCCAGAGACTTGTACGTGGTGTCCCTGCGGATGTGGTCCATTTTTGAGCTCCAAATAAAGTGGAAGAAGGCTTTGGTGATTGCAGATGTGATGGTTCGGGAAATAAGATAGACCTGTGCCATTTGCAGCAACACCAAGTGTACCTCGCATGTGATGACCAGGTTTTTACCCACAATACAGCAGTGCTCCCATAAGCCTAGTTTCTGCCTCACCTTGACAAAGTGCTCTTTCCAAGATTTTGTGCACATCCCGGAGCCTCTGAATCGTCTTTCTAGCAGGTAATCTGTTCTGACTGTGAAGGGAATAAAGAATCAGTTAGCTCAGTTCCAAAATAAAAAAGACAAGAATGAGGCCTTGATTCATCCATCTCCTGAGGCTCGTTCGAACTGGTCACAGATACTCATGAGTCTGTGCACTGATAGTGGATCCGAGCAGAAACGGCAATGTCGTCCATGTACTGGTGGGCTTTGACCTGCAGGCCTCCACTGTCTGGAATGGTCACCCCTCTCAGGCTTGCATCCTGCCTACGTAAATGCTCACAGGATCCCTGCGTTGCATTGTTTTACCTTGCCTTTTCATGCTTTGCCCCTTCAGCCAGTGACACGAGGCAAATAGTCCTGCCATCTTCCATAATAGAACAGAATAGAATATCCTTTATTGTCACTTGTATTCCAGTGCAGGAGTACAGTGAAAAGTTTTTAGAATGGCTGCCTTTTAATAGCACCATCTTACGCACAAGTATCCAGGTACCGAGTAAACAAAAAGTGTTGGTATATAAAAGAGGATGAAAAGGAAAGCATAAGCCTCACTTACGGTGTCTGAGAATGAGTTAGGAATGAGATCAATATCACATAGTGAAAAAGATTTAAATTATACTCCGGTAAACAGTTCCAAATAGCAGCAGTTCAGAAGCTTGTTATATGTAATTATCAGCCAGCTTCAGTCATGTCATGGAGAACAGCCTTTGCTCAGGTTTCATGCTCAGCTTCTGATACTAGTCCAGGTTCTGCTTGGGACAGTCAGAATCGGGATCCTCTCCTCACAAGGATTGAATAGCTGCATGATGGCAGCACATCACCCATTTTGACTCTTTCTGCCTTAATGTGGACTGTTTATCTCCTGGAATGAGAGACTGGCAGATATTAAGTTGGGGGAGGAGGGGGGTGTGGAGAATGAAGTTGGGTTGCATAGCTATTCCACTTGGTGCAGGTGATGAGGTGTCCAGTGCGGAGGGCGTGCCGGATTACTGGTGTTCTGAGATGGGATGGGTGAGAGCAAGTGGAAAGATGTTGTAGGCAATAGTGAAAGTGATACAGTGTGAGCTTCAGTGAGAGGTGAGTGCAGTAGCAAAGATAGAATGAGCATGAGGATTGGGAGAGAAAATGGTGGTACTTCTGCTGGGAGAGTAGAGAAAGTAATTGACCTTGTTTCCACATTGCTGGGCTTTTCTCCAAATAGCTGGGATTGCTTTGACCCGAGTTGCAACAAGAATTCCCTCTATCTTTCTCGGACACGTGGGCCTCTCGGGCCTGTGCATGGTACTGACTTCCAGGACCAAGAGTTAGTGCTGTGACCACAGCAGGCTGACCCTGAACAGCATGCACGGTATATTGGGGCGAGTGCACCCACACGCATCTTAAGAGTGTACATTGGCAACTTCACGCTGTGGTCTGGTGTCATCGCCTCCACTGCTGCTCTTGGGGAAAGAGGAAGTCCCATCTTTAACCATCCCATCTAGCAGGACCTCCAGGATCCTACCTGTCCAGCATGTTTGGGGCAAATGTCAGGAACCATGCAGGGCAGCTCCAGAGTAACATTGGTTGTTCAGTTATACAATGACCTTTAAAAGATTGCATCTGTGCCAAGTACAATGGTTAATTCTGGGGTATTCAGTGAGTAGTGAGTTGTTCCAGAAATGGCCCATGGTAAGGTGGGTTGGAAATCAGACATGATTGTACTTAGTCATAAAAATTGTAAGATTCAACCCAAAATATTTGTTCAATGTCTTCAATTTCTCGATCTCTGCTTGATAATTTCTCCTGTCAATACCTCTAAGAGAGCAATGGTTAAGTTGTTACACTCGATTCTATAATATTTGTTTTCCAATCAACCTGCCTAGATTTAGGGTGGCATGGTGGCTCAGGGGTTAGCACTGCTGCCTCACTGCACCAGGGACTCCGGTTCGATTCCCACTTCAGGTGACTATCTGTGTGGAGTTTGCATGTTCTCCGCGTGTCTGCGTGGGTTTCCTCCAGATGCTCTGGTTTCCTCCCGCAGTCCAAAGATGTGCAGGGTAGGTAGATTGACCATGCTAAATTGCCCATAGCGTTCAGGGATGTGTAGATTAGAGGGATGGGTCTGGCTGGACTTGTTGGGCTGAAGGGCCTGTTTCCACACTCTAGGGATTCTATGAATTCTTCTGTTATTACACACCTCGGATGGGAATTGAACCTGGGCCTCCTGGTTCAGAGGTAGACACTACCATTGTATCAGAAGAGCACCTCTTCTTTTTGCATGCTTTAGTAGTTCTTAAAATCTGGCTAGTTTATTCATTCTGTTTCCTTTTTGGGGACTTTGTGCTGATTTAGGGTCATAGAGCTGTGCAGCAAGGAAACAGACAACTTCGGTCCAACTCCAACATGCCGACCAGATATCCTAAATTAATCCAGCCGCATTTGCCAGCATTTGGCCTATATCCCTCTGAACCCTCCCTATTCATGTACCCTTCCAGATGCCTTTTAATGTTGTAACTGTACCAGCCTCCGCCACTTCCTGTGGCAGCTCATTCCATACATTCACCACCCTCTGTGTGAAAAGGTTGCCCCTTAGATACCTTTTAAATCTTTTCCCCTCTCACCTTAAACCTATACCCTCTAGTTTTGGACTCCCTCACCCTGGGAAAAAGACCTTGGCTATTCACCCTATCTATGCCACTTAGGATTTTATAAACTTCTATAAGTTCTACAACTCCTGAGGCTCCGATGCTGTAGGGGAAAATACCCCCAGCCTATTCAGCCTCTCCCTATTGCTCAACCCCTCCAACCTTGGCAACATCCTTGTAAATCTTTTCTGAACCCTTTCAAGTTTTGCAACATCCTTCCAATAGCAGGGATTCCAGAGTTGAATGCAGTACAGTAGTCCATAAGTGACCTAACCAATGTCCTGTACTGCCACATGACCTCCCAACTCCTATACTCAGTGCACTGACCAATAAAGTCAAGCGCGCCAAATGCCTTCTTCACTATCCTGTCTACCTGTGACTGTACTTTCAAGGAACTATGAACTTCTAAAACACTCACAATCCTCAGGCTTGTAACTATTTATCATGAGCAAGCTTTCTTGTGAAATCTTACCAACTTGCCACATTAATTTATGTACAAAAATAGAAGTTTTTGGAAAAGCTTAGCAGGTCTGGCAGCATCTGTGAAGAAATAAAATCAGAGTTAACATTTCGGGTCCGGTGACCCTTCCTCAACGTTAATTTATGTTCCTGCTCTTAAGGCATATATCATGTCTGATTTTCTTATTAAAAGTACCTTCAATTAATCATCCTTCATTCAAGGATGGAGCTTTCTCACTGAGTTTTTGCTTGTTAATGGAATATTTGGCTACTTTTATGAAACATTTCCATTGTTTACATAACTTGTTACCTTTTTTATTTACTCAACCAATTGTAATCCAGTCCTCCCCACATACATATGTAATTGGCTATGTTTAAGATTCTTATTTGGAACTGGAATCTGTTGCTCTCAAAAGTAATATAAAATTAATTGTATTGTGAATACTTTTTCCCAGAGGACCATCAACCACATGTTTAATAATTAACCTTGTCTCAATGCGCGAAACTAGATCCACAATGGCTTTGTCCCTGTGAGTTCCACAAGATTCCTCCAGGAAGCAACCTCAAATTTATTCTACAAACATACCTTTCAGACTACTTTTTGCTACTTTGATTTGTTTAGTCATTATGAAAATTAAAGTCACCCATGATGATTACATTGTTTTTTTTTGTAACAAGCTCCAATTATTTCTTGGTAATATTCTATCCAATGTAATAACCGCTCCCACCAGTATTTTATAATTTTTGATATTCCTAATCTCCAACCATGCTGATTCTATATCTTGATCTTCAACTATGCTTATCCCATCCTTTATAGTGAGTGTTACTCCTGCAGCTTTTTCATTCTCATTGTTTTTTCAAAATGTTGAATTAATTGAAACACCTTGTACCAATAGATACATCCAAACAATTTATCTGCTTGTACCTCCTGTTCATTTTCTTGTTATTAATAATTTGTACAATCAAACAAAGTAGCAAGTTCCTCATATTCATTGATCCAAGTCGATAGCCGAGCCTTTTCCATCCACTATATGTGGCATCTTCATATCAGCCTGGATTACAATTGCATCCTCCTCTTGCTGACCACTGATCAAATGTTCTGAGGAAGGGTCACTGGACCCGAAATGTTAATTTCGATTTCTCATCACAGATGCTGCCCGACCTGCTAAGCTTTTCAGCAACTTCTGTTTTTATTTCTGATTTACAGCATCTGCAGTTCTTTCGGTTCTGATCAAATTTTCTGTTTAGTTTGAGGTGTGTCTGACTCTGGAAGAAAATTTTTGATTAAATTTCTCCCTTCAGCTGCCCTGCAAAATGGAAGAGAAACACATAAGTTAGATGCTTTCTGATCAAAATCATGTAGTAGCTAACCCTCCATAAATACATTATGCCAAAACGCATGGGTGCTGTTACATTGTACCAAGTTCCATGGAAACAGCATCATTTGGCTGAGGCTTTGATGTTTGCAAGTATCGTTAGCAAGGGATAACTATTGATCAATTAAAGTTGCCTAATTTGTATACTAAGATCAAAGCCTATTCAAGGAGCACAGATGTTCCCTGATATAATGGACCAAGTTTGAAATGATGGTCTCCATAGAAACCAACCTTTTGTAAAAGCAGGTTGATTTAATTTTAAATTGAACAGATCACATGACAATGTAACATTAGTTGACTGAAATAAAATTAATTTGTTAACTTAATCCTGAGGAACATTTTGATTAAAAACAAGCTACAGAATGTTTTGGGTTTCTTAAAACCCAAGTTGCTTTTTTTTAATCTGTAGCACCTTGCAACATATACTGGGTTGTGTAAAAATATGCAAAATTGTGTCATGTAGAAAAAGGAAATAACTTATTTTCTATAAGCTGCATTAAATTGAAGCATTGTTTTAATGTATTACAGACACTGAACTGAGCAGCTCACTATAGCTGTAAAC